ACAAAAAGACAAAGAACTAGAAAAAAAAGAGGACAGATCAGTGTCTAGAATGACATAAACAACCCAGTCACTTGATCTAGAGGCACCGTGCAGATATCCATACACAGACACTCACTAGCTGAATTTGTCACCGTTTTTGTTATAGCATGTGATGGGGAAGAGGAAATAAAGAGAGGAGTGCAAATGACCTAAGTCCTTATCTGTCACTATCATAACATATATCTGTCACTAAGCATGAATGGTTAAGCCCCTTCTGAGCTGTGGGAACACAATTTTAAGAAATCTTGTGGTTGGTATGAATTGTCTCTAAGAAGCAAAGCTAGAGATTGAGGAAGGCAGGACAGACACTGGTAAGTACTTCTTACTAATATTTTTGAGGTTTTTTTGTTGGTTTGTTTCATTTTGTTTCGTTATGTTTTTCAAGACAGGATTTCTCTGTAGCTTTAGAGCCTCTCCTGGAACTCACTCTGTAGACCAAGCAGGCCTCGAACTCACAGAAATCCACCTGCTTATGCCTCCCCAGGGCTGGGATTAAAGGCGTGTGCCACAACCACCCAGCAATCTTTGTTTTTTAAAGCAATAGAATCATTAATTAGAAAAGAATGTTTAAATATTAAATGGTGAATAATTAAATTTGTGGTTATTTACATAACCCTGGGAAGGAAAATGCCTCTTTTTTTTTTTGACAGCAGGTTTTTTTTTTTTAGTTTTTTTTTTTGGTTGATCATTTTAATTTTATTTTTATTTTATATTCATTTATTTATTTATTAAAGATTTCTGTCTCTTCCCCACCGCCGCCTCCCATTTCCCTCCCCCTCCCCCAATCAAGTCCCCCTCCCTCGTCAGCCCAAAGAGCAATCAGGGTTCCCTGCCCTGTGGGAAGTCCAAGGACCACCCTCCTCCATCCAGGTCTCGTAAGGTGAGCATCCAAACTGCCTAGGCTCCCACAGTGGTGAGCATAGCTGCCTTCCAACTATGATTTTGATCCTTAAGTTAATAGGAAGTTTTCACTTTTAGAAATGGATACAAGATCCACTGAAGCCAGTGACTACTACAGCCCCTAAATATATATGTGTGTTTATTTATGTATAAAATTATATACATAAATATATATGTTTATATACATATATTTATGTATATAATTCCCATAAATGTATATATACATTTATATATAAATTTTTATTTAAATATATTTATATATTTATGTATATAATTCCCATAAAATGTATATATATACACATTTTATGGGAATTATAAAGAAAAAACATGTGCTTTCCTGGAGCCCCCCAAGAGAAGTAAGTAGAAAGACAGCTGAGCTCTGATTCCATGTAGGCCTCAAGTGTGTCTTGTCCAAATTTCAACAGGCAATACCATGGAGCACAATGGGCAAGCACTGGACTGCTCAGGTGCAAATCTGATTTTCTATGAGTTAATTGTGTCATCAACTTGTTCCTCATCTACAAAATTGGAGTAGTAAAGGTCCCTGAGTTGATTAAGTGATTTAGTATATATAAAATACATATATATATATGCATTCATTTATATCAATTCAAGTATGCATAGGTGTGTAACTTAATACATATATGTAATATAGTAAAAACCATTTAACTATGTGCAAGGTAAGTTATTATCTTGTTTTATTATGCATCACTAAATTCCTCTTTTTTTTTAAGTTGGTTTGAGTTTTCTGATAGTTAACAGAATCCTAGCTTACCCGCCCACTGATAGATTTATGCATCTTCTCATAAACATAAACACTGTCATTACCATAAAAACAGTATTTTTAAAGTAGATAAAAAAAAGCCTTAAAATTAGTAGCATTGTTGCCCTTGCATATAACAAGATGGAGACTCTGTAGCTAAAACAGGAAGTTTCACAAATTGAAAATAAATATGAACGTAGCAGTTCTGTTTTCAAAGAATGAACAAATGACATTAATAATAAACTACTTTTCCCCATGACACAGCTAAATGTTATCACTCAGAGTTGGCTAGTGTCTGATGGACTGCTGGAAAGAAAAATAAGTATATATAAATACTCAGGAAGCAATTCAGCCATAATAAAAATATGCATAATTATTTTTAGAAATTGGCCTAAGGTCATAATTAAGATTGTGGGTAAATATTCTTCCTAGTATTACTGGCTTGTATTTATATAAGGAAACACTGAGAAATGAATAACCAAAAGCAGAATTCATTAATCTGTATGCCCCAATATTATATTCAATCATTTTATGTGCTGATATAAAATATGTACATGAATAGGAGGTATTTCACCATTATTAAATGAGATAAATAGGTTCCTCAGTTGTTCAGTGAAGGCCTGTTGAGTTGTATAAATGTGTGTACATGGATGTGGAAAGTCTAGTAGATAGTAGTATCAGGTGATAGTACAATCTTTGCACACCATCTTAGCCAGAAGGCTGAGAAGTGAAGACAGTAAAATCTCTAGAAGGCAGAACTATAAGATTCTGTTGGATTTAGTTCCTACTTACACGTATATCTAATTTTTCCTTCAAATGACTTTAACTGACATTCAGGGAAGAAATATTTCTTTTTTAAATTTTAGAAAGTTGTAAGTCACCTCTAAGGGTCATTTCAGTAAGACATTTGCAGTCAAACTGTGCTCAAGCCATTAGAAGCAGAGCTGAAAAGAAATTCATCCTTCATTAATTAATAAAATCTGCTTTAAACAACCAAGGAGCAAAGGGTCTGATGGACATGTGTGGCATTCGTTTGGTGAAATAGAGAGTCTACACTGGGGAGGAAGAGACCAAAGAAGCAGAAAGAGGGGAAATTGCAGCAAGCACAGCTGCCAGTGGGGCTTTGCTAAGCAGCTGCAACCCCTTGCACCAGCCACACTGCAATGCTGCCCAGTCTCAAAGTCAGGACAGAACCCCTTCTCTCAGCCTCCTGACGTCCGAATTCCCTACACTAGCACAACAGGTACAATACATAAGCAACAGTCCCAGGGAAGAAAACGAGAGAATTGAAAGCCTGTGAAGCAGGAGGACCCATGAACTCCCTGTTATAAAAGAGTGGGCACCACCACCAACTGCCAAAATAACAGACATTTAACCTTAAGCAGATGAAGAAAAGAGTTGTCAACAGTTCATAGAGGTTAGGATGCTCTGACATAAAAGATTGCAGGCTCCTTCGTTTATGTGGGACATATTAACAGCTGGTGACCTAGATTAATATGTAAAAAAGCAGACCATATCACAAAATTGCTTCACAGATGGAAAGCCGACTCAGTGAAAATCCTCAGACGAAAGATTCACGTGATTATTTTAGTGGGAGGGGTAGCTACAAGTGGGCGAAATAAAATGTGGAAAAATGACAACAAAGTCCTGCCCGAGTCTCGAGGTGGGCAAACATCTGGTATCTGGCTATTTCCTGGCCAAGCACCCAGGGGAAGGAAGGGGACAAGTAGTCTGCCTAATTCAGCTTCGGAGGAGTGGCAGGAGGATCATGGAGTTCAGGATGAGCTTGGGTAGATATTAAAAGCAATGCAATCCTCTTACAGCACTGGGAGGATGCAAGTGTGCAGGATGTGTGCAGGGAGGGAGGGGCTACAAGCAGCCACTGAGCCTTGGCCGGGGGAAGTGCTTCCAGGCTCTAGGAGCAACCCAAAGTGGGGGCAGCTTGAACTTGGGTAAGTGCTGACCAGGTGAGAACCAAGGAAAATCTGATTTCCAGAAAGACAGGAAAACACCAGAGACCCTCATTCCATGGACAGAAATTAATCTCATATGAAATAAGTGCAGTTCGGTTTACCCCAGGATCACTAGCCCAGGTTCATGCTCAAATACAAAGTTCAGCCGGGCGGTGGTGGCGCACGCCTTTAATCCCAGCACTCGGGAGGCAGAGGCAGGCGGATCTCTGTGAGTTCGAGGCCAGCCTGGTCTACAAGAGCTAGTGCCAGGACAGGCTCCAAAGCTACAGAGAAACCCTGTCTCGAAAAACCAAAAACTAAAAAAATAAAAATAAAAAAAAATACAATGTTCAAGTTCCCATATAAAACGCCCTTCGCTCAGGACAAATGAAGACCTCTAATTAGAGGGGTCAGATATGGCAATCAGGGAAGCTGGGGAGCCCAGTGCCTTGTAAAATACCCCCCTCGCGCGGATCTGGGTTGAGTTTGTGCACATCCCTCAGGAAGAGACATAATTTACAATGGCTAATTTACTCCGGAGCTTGTGAAACAACTGCGACCCTAGCCCCTCTGATAGGAGTGGGGTTTGTTTTGCTTCTTCTTAAGCAGAGAAACCAAGATTTTGTGCAGAGACGTGCAAAAAATAACTCTGAGATTGGGGTTATTTATTTTTGACCTTCCAGAGGGCACTGGATTCAAAAAGGACACGGATTCAGAGGGAGAAAGTGTGCATTCTCTCGAACTCCAGTTAAGCACTGTACGAAGGTGTTGATTGTTTATTATCCGTCCCATTGGTCCATGCACGTCTGGGTGTCTTCTCTGCTTAAGTCGTTCGTTTCGACCCCACTCAAACAGGCACAACACCCCCACCCAGGAAAACTGGATGCGACAATCTCCCTCCCGGATCTGCGGCCACGGACGCCCGAGTTCTGGAGGTGCGGCCGCCAGGCGCCAAGAGATGGAGGAGCCAGGGAACGCAGCTCAGGGTGCAGCCAGAGAGCAGCTGCACCTGCCACCTCTGGTCCCCGGAGGCGTGACTAGGAGAGCGGCCACCCTAAGTGAGCTCCAGTGGTCTGGCGCACTCCGTGACCGGGAGACCGGGAGTCTGCTGGTCCCTGGCGTACCCTCCGCCGTGCCGTGCCCACGCTGCCTGACTGGATCCTGCCTGGCTGCAATCACTGGGCGCAGAGACAGGGGACTCCTCCATCTACTCCCTCCCGGGCTCCGCAGCTCGCCGCACCTGGACCAGCGGCCCTGCAGCGCGCAGCCTGCCAGGAGCCAGCACCGCCATCGGCGCCAGCACCGCCTCGCGCCACCTGCCCCACCGCCCGCCACCCTCTGCTGACCTTTTCCTGCGCGCGGTTGAGTCGCTTCTGCACGTTCTTGGCGAAGATGCCGGTCTTGATGTCGGCCATGGCTGCTGCGGTCCGCAAAGCTGGATGAGCTGAGCGCGCAGCGGGCCGGCAGCGGCGCGGAGGAGCCCAGGAAAAGGAGGAGGAGCAGGAGGAGGAGCAGCAGAGGCGTGTAGTGCGGAGGGTACGGGTGAGGGAGGGGCGCGGCTGCGGGACCGGCTTAAAGAGAGAAGGCGCGGCCACTAGGGGTGGTACAGCCGGGAGTGAGGTGCATTTAAAGAGAGGGAAGAAGCCGAAATGCCAAGCGAACACCGTGATGGAGGAGGAGGTCTACAGGCGATGAAAAATGAAAGACTTCCCGCAGGCCCAGGGCCTGGGGATAGCTGGGGGTGGGGGGCGAATAATAAGAGGTGTGCATCAAGGATAGTCAAAAGACCTTGATTCTGTCTACCAATTAAAGATCAGGAGGAGGTGGGAAGGGTGATCTGCAAAGGTCCTAACTGGAGGGTGGCTGCAGAACAGTTTGCAAGACAGAAGGGATAGAGGGATCACTGTGACATTTCCTTAAATCTGAATATGGGAGTGGGGAAGCCCAGGGGACAAGCACCTACACACAGGTGCTGCGCCTTGCCAGTTCTCAAATTCCTGCACTGCAGACACACTGGCACAGCAGTTTCCGCGAGAAATAGTGCCGTGAGGAGAGCAGATAGGACTATTGGATCTCCCGGATCTCCTGGTCAATCAAGGACTTTTTAAAAACCTTCTGACAGTTGTGTTGTTATTGAGACAAGGTCTCTCGGTGATCGTACCTACTATGCCAACTGTGTGCACGATCAAGAATGTAGATATGCGTAGTTGGTATAACAAAAGTTATATTTTATTATGCTGATGGCCGTCACACAAGGTTCACACTTCTACAAATTTTTTTTAATTTTTATTTATTTATTAAAGATTTCTGATTCTTCCCCGCCACTGCCTCCCATTTCCCTCCCCCCTCCCCCTATCAAGTGCCCCTCCCTCGTTAACCCAAAGAGCAATCAAGTTTCCCTGCCCTGTGGGAAGTCCAAGGACCACCCACCTCCATCCAGGTCTAGTAAGGTGAGCATCCAAACTGCCTAGGCTCCCACAAAGCCAGTACGTGCAGTAGGAACAAAAACCCATTGCCATTGTTCTTGAGTTCTCAGTAGT